TGAAAAGAAGACTTTTATATCATGTGTAGTGCTACAGAACAGTTGATGCTCTGAACTATGAGAGAGCAAAAAATAAGTTCTGTTCTAATACCAAGTAGCTGTAGCTGTTCTGCAAGATTTCAAGAAAATTTCAAGTGTAATTTTATGTAGAGACAAAATAGCTTTATTTAAACTCTCATCTTGAATATTTCACATTAACTCCACCAAATAATGACAGGGAAAAAACCCCACAACTGTATCTTACCCATTAAAAAAAGAAAATTTTAACATGTTAAAAAAAGGTTTCAAAGGATAAGAGAAGGTTGTCTACCTTACCAGAGGAAATTGGTAACATGACTGGCCACAAACCTCTGTTAAAGATAAGGCAGGCTACTTTCTAATGAGACATAATGAATTAGCTGTATGGAGTCAATGGGGAAGGATTCTCCAATCCATTATTTCCTCTCTACAGGTGATTTAACCAAATTTACATGAAAGGAAATCTCTGAGTATTTAAATGGATCATTTTTTCACAAACACAAGATTATACAGTACTTGCAGCTTTCACAGTCCTGCATCACAATGATTATTCATTGTTTTAAAGCTGGTGTTTCATAGTCTGTACAGTCTATGAATATGAGTACTGTGATCTGGGGAAAAAAGTGAAATCACACTGTGACTAACCTTTGCTGTAGTCTTCTTGGGGTAAAGCTTTTCTAAAGAAGGACATGAGGTCTTAGGTATCTCTTGTGAGAATTCTTGAGTAAATTGATAATAAAAAATCAGAATGGTTGAGACTGAATTTAGACTACATTAGTTGCAGCTAATTTACTCTCCTTTATAAACAGTAAAAATAAAGCTTTATAAAAACTTTTCAGCAAATAAAACATCAATTTGGAACGTACTGCACACTGATGTATCAAAACATGATTTTCCCTGCCTTACAGCCATGAGCTTCTATTTAGGGAGCATAGCCATTTAGAGCCTTCATCTAAGTGTCTGTTTTGGTCCTTATCCTTCAGTGACTATGAAACATTTTGCCACTTTTCTGTACAATCCAGCAACAGACCAAGCAGTGCACTATGAAAGAACCACTAACATGCATAAGCCTAAGCACCATTCAGGCATGCTTGCAGGATCAGGAACATCGCCTGAACTCAAATACAGGGCCTCTCAGCATTGTCAGCGTGACCCATAATGTGATTGTGACACTGAGGAAGAGAAACTCGAACAGTTCTGCTCAGTAATTTTTAACAAAGTAAAAATATACCCTGGTCGTTATATCTAGTTGAGATAAACAGTTATAGAGCAACATCTGGGATCTCACAGATAACTTTCCACTCATTTTCGAGATGGAAGAAATGAAGATGGTCAGTAAAGCAATGTCCAGCAGTGTTCTCTTTTGAGGTTCCTAACTTGTTTTTTTCATGGGTCTTTTCTGAGAAGGATGGTTCTGCTCTCCCTGAATAAGCTTCATTGTTGTATGAGAGGCAAAGACTTAACACAATGCCAGCTTTGTGACAGTAATGTCTCTGCACTACTGCAGAAAAGAAACAAACCACTTTTTTGGAGGGGGGGACTTCTGGAATGGTAATTAGCCAAGAGGCCAGGGCAGCTGAGGGAGTCCTTCTGAAACCCACTACGCTGAGAGACAGATGCAGAATTAATCCACTTCAGTTAAAATTATATTAAACAGGATAGACAGGACCAACAAGCTAAAGGTAGCGCAAAATTAGGATTCTCTCTGCTTTCCGGTGGTACAACTATATTATAGTAGTATCAGTGCTCCATATATCAAACAATACAGAAATAGAACGGTAAAATGATTACACATGAACACTGCAGCAGTAGCAGGACAGTGGTTTGCATTCTATGCTTAGCATGGGCTGCTCAGCCTCCCTCTGCTTCTGCCTTTGCTTCCCAAGGGAGTGGCAGTAATTGTACAGACTCTCTGTTCCAGGTCCTTTCCCTTCACAGCACGAGGGCAAGGCCATGCTCGCCTTCCCATGCACTGGCTGACACTGCTTTTCCCAACAAAACACTGGAGTACAGCATGTACCAGCAGGGTCTTGACTATTCCAGCGCAGGAATAAACAGGAGAGGAGGTAACAACCCTACATGGCCATAAAGGAGTAAATGAGGTCCCAGATGCTGCTTCCATCATGTGGAAAGTCACCCAGACCCCTGCCCTAGACCACCAGTGAGGCTAGTTGGGAAAAAGGAGGGGAAACCAGGCTGGTGTTGAAAAAGACTCCCAGCTTTGCCCAGACTGTTCTAAATTCCACTGACCTTTTCCCAAATGGCTTAACGATACTGCAACAAGCACTGCTATAGTAATACTTTTTGGTATCAGTATTACGAAAGATGCAAATGTTATCAACCATTACAATTTTGACCACTCCTCTATGTGGCCTATTTAAGATTACTACCTCAAAGCTGAGAGGAAAGACAAGAAAAATTCAAAAGCAAGCCAAATTAATACACAGCCTGTGGATTCTTGCCAGTTTTAATTATTCTTTAGCATGTTCAGAGATGTTTCAAAGGCGTTCTACTTCACTTCCCATTTTCTCCCTCTCCCACCTTAGGCATGTTTGCTCTGTAAGTGAGGTCCAATTCTTTATCTGGAATATCTGGTATGTGATTCATGGTCTTGGTCTCATGCATAAGCTTAAAAGAAAACTGAAATCATACGTAACTCTTTACAAGGTCAGAGAGTGCATCAGTTGGTAACAGGAAACAAGATGTTTCAACATTTCAAATACAGTAAAAGCTTACACTAGGCAAAAGGAAAGTCTAAAACTGAGGACAATTATTATAAGTAATAGAATTACATTAAAACTTCATGCATATTAAGCATGCTTAGGCTATTTAGATGGAAGTCAACATCATCGCAGAGGGAAGACAGCAAACAGTGGCGGTTGAAATACAACCACTCCACAAACAGCGAAAAGTGTGCGTTAATTACATTCTCTGTGTTACAAGTACTCGAAACTCCCTGCTAAATGCTTGCTGTTGTTTAGCCAACTCCCTAGAAAACTGACATAATCAGAAGTCCTCAGCACATGCATGCTGTGAAAGAGTTGTGTCAGTATCACACGTGTGGGATGACCTGTTTGAGTAAAAACAAGACAACAGAAACCCTTATCAGATTTTGGATCAGCAAGGCACTCAAAGTGACCAGTAAACTCCCAGTGACCAAAACTTGCAGCACTTTTCATATTTCCAGAAGTAATCCTGGAATCTCTACAGACAGAAGAAAAACCTACACCTTTTGAGGGCGAGTCTTTGTTTTATGTGTTTGCTTCCTTGGAGACTTCCTGTACGAGAGATTTTTGCAATCATAAACATAGCATTAGAGAATGTTTTTAAAACAGGACTCAATAGAAATATGACATAACACTTATACCAATATAAATGGCCTATGCTATTATTTTACAAATAGAATTAAAATAGATAAGTGCTTTAAGTATAAAAATACCTGATTTTTAAACTTTTGGAGAAAGAGAGTATTGCTTTTCTCAGTTAGTAACATAACATTTTTGTTAAGCTAGAAAATCCCTGGTATGTAGGAATATGCACCAAAAATATGCCTGGTAGCACTATTTAAAACAACATAGTTTTAAGCAATTGTTCTACTTCCAGTAATAATGAGACAAAGAATAAACTCAGAAATTTTTTTTTACACTGAAAAAAAAAAAAAGAAAAAAAAAAGAACAGAAAGGGGGGGGGGGGGGGGGAGGGGCAAGTTTTGCAAACCCTTCCCTTCACACTGAAATTCACTTATGGTCTGACAACACCCAGTTTCCATCTCTGCAATGAGGCGATGGGAAAGGCTCCCGTGGAGCCAAGGGCTAGAAGGCTGCAGCTCGGACAGCCAGACCTCGCCAGCTCCTGCAGGGAACATCGCGGCTGCAGAAACTGAGGTACTGCAAGGCAGGAGAGGTCACGAGGCGCCAGCCAGGAACCCACTAGAAACCATGAAACAGGATTCGCCTCCACTGCCCGTCCTGTCAGGGACAGGGCCATGCTCCGTAGCCAGGAGCCTTGGCGCAGCCTTGATTTTACACTGACGTGAGGGGTAGGTGGTGGGTGCCGAGCATTTTTATGCCGCTACAGGTGCGCACACCTACGCTGAGGCGCTGCTGCGTGAGCCCTGACGGTGCTGTGAGGAAGCGGGGGTACGCACCTGCCTTGCCAGCCCCACTGCTCCCTGCCTGGGCTCTGCGGGACACGCCTTTGCGCGGGCCAGACCTACCGCGGGTGTCCCGAAGCGCCCCGTGGGCTCCTGTCGGG